TGTTAAATACGGTGGGGTTTTTAGTGAGGACTTTTCCCCCCGTTTTCACTATTACCTGATATTTGTATTCTAGTATATTATTCTACCTTCATAGGAGAAATTGCAAATCAAAATGTAATTGCAATGGTTATATGGAAAATCACAATGAGAATAATACATTTCTTTCAAATCTACAGTCAACAACTAGACCCTGCAGTGTTGGATTTACTCCAAAATGGTGCCAAACAAAGATACAATTACATATAGATATAATAAATAAAAGGCCTCCCTATATAAAAAGAAATGTGTCATGGTTGGTAGTGTTGGACATGACCTCATTGACTTGTAGCCCCAGCTCTGGTCTGTTCCCATTGAGGTTGTTCTTTATATAGATTTGTTTCAGTTTTAGAGACTTACGCAAGCGCTGTCAAAGACCAGGACAGACTGCTGCTCACATGATGCACTATTTCCAGTAGAGTTTGTGGTTCGCAATAAATTCACACAAAGTACCACCAAAAAAGAAACCTGGTGTCTCATATCTAAATATTTAGTACTCCCATAAAAAACTCAAAGGGCAGTAGAAATAAGTTGCAATGCAACTTATAATGCAAGTCACAATATTTTCTAATACACCGGGATTGTCTGTGTGATTTCATGCTCTTTTTAGATCTTTTAGACTTATTTGAGAGTTCAGATTTCCATTTTGTGCATCTATATATTTGCATATTCATGACTCATGAGTCTCTCAATCATCGGAAATGACAAGCAGACTGTGCACCACAGCACAAACAAGCCTTCAGCAGAGATACCAAAGAAAACATGTTCGCTCAAAACGAAGCCATTAATGCAGGAAGTAAAGAGGCAAATCTCCTTGTTATTTATTTAAGTTGTGTTTCATTTGTTTAAAGTTTGGATTATAAACGTTTATTTTAGTTTCAAACAAGTTTTCATGTTTGGTACACATACGATTAGTGTATGAAGTTAAACAAGATTTCCAAGATATGGTGGCTGAATGGATAGCACTCTCACTTCTCAGCAAGAAGGTTCTGGGTTCGAATCCCAATTGGAACAGGGCCTTTCTGTGTGGAGTTTGCATGTTCTCCCCATGTCTGCGTAGGTTTCCTCCGGGCACTCCGGTTTCTCCTACCACTAGAAACATGAGCAGTTGGTCAGGTTGAATGAGTGTGTGTTTGTGAGTGTGAACGAGGGACAACAGACGCAAATTAGCCCAAGGCTACAATCCGAGGTGATGTGTTCTTTAACATGTACTGTCCCAACCAAATAAACAATAAATACATAATTTTTGAGGAATAAAAACTGAAGCAGATTTGTTTGGAGAATACGGAGCTGGCCTGAAGTTAATAAGGCCTTGACCCTGGTCCCCGCAACAACAACACACTTTTATAATTACAGAGATAATGAGACAGGACTAAAGATCATCATTATCACAGTCATCAGTGACCTACAAGCAGCGGGTCAGACGCTCACACCCTGAGTCTGCTGTTCCTATACTGTGTGTTGAATTAAAAGATAAGGTTGGTGATTTCGTTGGAAGGGGGTCCCTCTCAAAGGATCCACATCTCACCGACCCAAGTGAGTCTTTTGATTTTGCATGTACTGTAATTATGAGTTGTTTCATATACAGGTATGCTCTTTAAGATGCTGTACCTAACTTTCACACCACAAATAATGGAACAGTTAGATACTATCACTAGTTTTTGGTCTCTGTCACATTATTCAGACTGAAAGTAAAAAAGAGAGGACCACCCTCATTCAACCAATCACCTCTCAGTCCAAAGTGTCAAATGGTGACTTGCAGGGGTCTTTCCTACAAGTATGCAAAAGATATCACGTAATAAGATAAAGACAGCACATGTTGTGGTGTGATTTGCTAAAGTTAATCATATGTGTTAAGTCTATTAGCTGTGACCAGTGAGGGCGGGTCCCTGCTCAAAAATATGCTTGCAATACCACGCCAGGCCGATGGGGGTGGACCCGGAATAAGAATTAGCCAATGCTAACATATATCATCATCTTACCTCTCGAAAACGTCTTTACAGGATGGTCCAAAAGTTGGCTCTTGGCTCAATGTGTGTCAATGCTGAAGGAAGTGAATTTTTTTGGACCAGTCTAGTTTACTCGCTGTGAGTTTTTGAAGTCACTTGTTTTAATAAATGGGGCTTGTGCCGGCTGACGCATGCGCAGATGCGTTTTTTCACATTTTCCAGCCCCCATGGCCATTTTGAATCACTCCATGAGAGCACAATTTTTGGCCCATTAGTTAGAACAGCGGAGCTAGGCGTGACTACGTCAGTTAATATATACAGTCTATGGCTGTGACAGACACAATTGCATGTTTTGCCTCAGCTCCATATTCCACCACAAATCAAGAGAGCAGAAAAGTGGAGAGTGGGATCTGTCAGTGGTCATAATGTTATGGCTGGTGAATACAGGCTTAATGTAATCACAAACTCTCATATTAAGAACCGCAGTGTTGTTGAAATGAATGGAGAAAGCCACAAGTCGATATCTATTTGATTATCTCGCTTCCCTTGCACTATTTCCGCCACAGTAAATGCTCTTTACTTTCCCTGGAGGAGCTTTGAAACATGAACGGATGAAATAACACAACGTAAAGGAAGAAGTACTTAAGGGCACTTTATATTGAAGCATTTCTATAAATCAAGTAGTATGAAGAGGTGATTTCATTAGAAAAGTATTTGAATCTGTTTAACTAGTTTTTTCCCAGAACGGTAGAACTATTATCATCTTTCAGTTTAGAATGCAGCTCTGCTAAACGCAAAAAAAATAACTTAAATAACTTAAATAAATAGTAACTGTAGGTTATGTAGCATGAGCTCATAACATGATTATAGCACTTTTCATATATCACTTAAGCCAGAAATAACCCTGGTCTCCCGGCAACTAAACAAGGTTCTGATAGAGGCAAGATTCCTTCACTAAATGAAACTCTAAACGCCACTATCTGCGCCCGTGTAGCGAGCCTTCTTCATAATATTAATCAAATGTGATGCAGTCCTATCTGTTGGTTTGGACTGGCAACAACACAGTATCTATTGATTGCAATATTATCTATTTTTCAGCGTTTCCCTTAAATCTTTATTTGATCACTGAAAAAAGGCAGGAAAAACATGTTTGATTGTTTAATTATGTAGAGTAGATTATTATGTTGAAATTAGAGATGCACCAATACCACTTTTTTCAAAACAGATACGCACACCTTAATTTTAGTACTTGCTGATACCGAATACCGGTATGAGTACTGCTTTGTGTTATCCCTGGGAATTCACAAAACTAATACAACTGAAATCTAAACATTGTAGCAACGGTTTTAACAGCCACAGTTTGTGACAAGGAGTGTACATATTTTTAGTGATAGGCGAAACCGGAGCATCCAGAGGAAACCTAAGCAGGCACGGGGAGAACATGCAAACTCCACAAAGAAAGGCCTGGAGGTAGAATTGAATCCAGGACCTTCTTGCTGTGAAGCACAAATGCTAACAACTGCACCACCATGCATACAACTACAGCTGTCCTGGGGCAGACTTACAGAAGCAAGGAAACCAGTATTTGACATAACAGGATCTACTCCACACCTTCAGGCATACTTTTGTATTACTGTATAGATAATATAGACTATGAACTCAAGCAGCCATGTTTCTCCTTTCAAATTCATCATCTTAAGAAAAAGCCCACACATTTTCTTTATCAAATGTCAGTGTCATGGCTAAAGTGGGGATTGTATTATTTAGTGCTGCTTGTCACTTATTACCAGGGCGGCTTTGGTGTAAACATTAAACAGGAAGCAAAGCATCACGGGTTTCCACACTTCACCTAAAACTCACTATAAAAACAAAAGAAGTCAACTCACAAACAACAATGAACCTCTTGCTGAAACACATAATGGGGTTTCCTGTTGTGTTGACAATAAACAATTCTATTAGTTTCAATCACTTCAAATGAATAAACTCGTGGATTGTGTAGAGAACAACAAAGACTTAATAAAACTGCTTTGCAAAGAGGTATAAGCCACTGTGAAGGGTTGGTGATATACATGTGACATCAAATCCTTTTACACAACAGGGTCAAGTAGTATACGCACAGTAGGCAACAAAAAATGTCGCAAATGCTTCTTATTTTTTTGCACAAGTCTAATAGTTTCCCCCCAGTCAGTTCGTGACCAAAACTCATAATATTGACAATAGCGCTGAGTTATAACTATATAAATATAAGAATTTCCTCTTTACAAGAATAACACTAACTTGACACGTAATGTTCATTTACTGTAAAAAACATGTTGTTGTACAAGACATTCTATTATCCATCAAGAAAACAAAGATGCAAACGACTCCATGGACACAAGCAGTTTGGCCCGAAAGAAAAAAAAATATTTGAATTAAACACTTAAAGACAAGACATTAAAGTTGACAAGGAGATGGACCTACAACACAAACTCATGAAACACTGTTTTATGTAAATAACCTATACATTCCCTACATCTATGTAAAAGATTAGGAATAGTCTGGCCGGCAAGTATTAAGCCGATTCCACTGCAGTCTATGGTCGTTATATACAAGTAAGTAAGTAATATTTATTTATATACCTTCTTTCACAGACCAGAGTCACAAAGCGGTTTACAATTGTTATTTTTGGGCACTTGTCCTCTCACTCCACACAGAGATGGGAGAGGGGTCCCCGAACAGGAGGCGCATGCCAGACCTATTGATCATATTTTTAGTGGTAGGGGAAACCGGAGTACCCGGAGGAAACCTACGCAGACACGGGGTGAACATGCAAACTCCACTCAGAAGAGGGATGTAACAGGTGCTCCCTTCAGCAAAGTGCCACTCCATGCACGCACACAGAGCTATTGTTTAAGAGCCGAATAAAGCATACAGGAATTTATTTAAGTCAGTTTTAGTCCCGCTGCTTCCCCGCTAACACACACTGTCCATCCTCACCCTGTCCGCGGGGGTGGGTCATGAGGTGGGTGCACTGACCTGGGCGGACCGCTGGGCTCCCAGTAGCGGCAGAACAGGTGCAGTCCGTCCGCGTTGACAATGTGGGGCAGGTCGCTGTACGCCACTCCCTGCGGGCTCTTTGCCTCGGGCATGGACGGCTCTGGGGACGAGAAGAACAGCCATGAGAGCCAGCAGTGCGGGGACAGCAGAGAGGGCACGCCGCCGAGGAGGCAGCTGAGCGCCGCCACACACACGCAGCACACAGCGGTCACAGGCTGCATGATGGAGGACAGAGATAGGGCTACACGCGAGGCTGTAGCATCGGAAACGACTGGCCCCAGGAGACAGGAGGCAAGAGGCAGGAGGGAAGAGGCAAGAATCAAGAAGCAAGAAGCAGGAATCAAGAGGACAGGTTTGCCTCAGAGGAGAAACTCGCAGAGCACAGAGCACGCGCGCCCTGTTTTGGTGACGTCAGAGCCATATGCGCGCTCTCCCTCTCTCCCTTTCTCTCTCGATCTCTCTCGATCTCATCACACATACACACAGGTTCTCCTCTGACATATGGAGGCATTGGAGGTCCTGCCTGTACACCTGTTTTTAGTTTTATTGTATACGTATGTTTTTTTTGTTTTTTAATCCATGAACCAGTTTTCTGTGTTCTTAATAAAGAATGAATTGAATTGACACACACACACACACACACGCAGACACACAATTAATGCAGAATAAATTGCAATACACCGTTTGAAGATTAGGGTTAGAGTGGTTGCAAAATTATATAGTGTAAATAAATGTGTAAAATTAAAGGAATATATTCTACACTTTTTGAATTTTATTGTGTTAAATGAATAGTAGTGAACAACTATAATGAATGTGTTTCACCTTCATTTGCACTGTCCTCTCCCTTCTTTTCTCGCCTTCACACAGTTTCTCTCAGCTTCACTCATCAGCTGGTTTGCTGATGAAAACTCTATTCATAATGTTCTTGTCTTATTAGTTTTAAACGGAAGGTCATTAAGTACAACGTTAATTGCGGAAGTAATAACACTATCCTTATCTATATTTTTAACATTTACCTCCCTCTGATGACTCAATTCACTCTGCCTGCATTCACACAGGCCCCGCCCACAGCCATAGCCACCCCAACTGCCTTTGTACAGAATGCCTGGTAAAGCTGGGGATTTGTGACTGTACAACGTTTCTCATTCATTTGGTCCAACACTGGCAGGGTCAGAGGGCCACAACAAAAGTGTTATTGTAGTAAACACAGGATATGTCTATACCACGACTTTCAAATACCAGACTGACAGATAATGATAGAAGTGTTTGTTGAATTCATTAATCAAAGAGGATTTTTTTGCATTGATTATCAGTTTTACATTGGAACTTCTTTAATGGGGGACTTCTGTACAATTCCCCCTCCGTGTTCTGTTCCACTATTCATAATGTTGTACATAGTCAGTCTTTTTCTGTAAAACCCATACATGTTTTGACATTTCCTCACTAACTGATTCTAAAGTTCTGCTCAACACGGCTCACCTCACAATGGAAACTACAATCTGAAACAAATGGAGAAAAACACTAAACCAGCTCTGTTTGATTCTCAGAATGGGTGAGGCCTTTCTGAGTAGAAAGTTGTGAAAGGGTGGGGTAACCTTTTCAAAGATGCTCCAGTTTCTTATCCACATTAACCACCTTATATTTGAATTAACTTAAGAAGACGGACAGACGTAATGCATTGTTTCTTTGGTCTGATTTGTACATTTGTCATCATTGTTTACAGAAAGTGAATAGCTTGAAGGAGTCAAATCTTACACACTGGGAAAAGATTATTGACAATTATGGCTCACAGATCCAAAATAAAAAATCAGAACACAAAACATACATCAGTAGTTTCATAGAGTAAATTGACTGTATCACCTGTACTGTATCTATTAGTCATAAACCTGCTTCTCAGCTTTTATTAGTCACTGCTAGGTTAAAAAAAAAAACAATGAATCAGTTCTTACAAAATAGCTGGCAACTATTTAAACAATTGATGGATTAGGTACATTTAATCAATCAATTTGCTTCAGCCCTGATATGAAGACATTCTGATACTATACGCTTTTTATTCATGTAAATATGCTCATAAATGTTGCAAAGCTTCTGGCATTTGCTGCTGTGCCTGCTGTCCCTCCCATTCCCCCATTAGCTCAAATTATAAAGAAAATAAGTGCCAGGACTGAATATACAGTGGTTATGAGCTGATCTAATGAGACGTTTGTGGCTCTGCGGCTGTGTCACATGTGCGGAGAGACTTCACAAGGCTGCATCACAGGACTAGTACAGTGCAATCACAGGCTGCTTCATGCTATGGATATACAATTTCAATGTATTTTCTTATCCCAAAAAGCAGCATTAACATAATTGGACAACAGAATAATGCAATACATAAAAGGTTTGGAAAGGGGTTTGGCTGAAGCAAGCGCGTGTATATTTCCAGCCCCCCTCTCTTTACATTCCACACTCATACAGGACAAGACACACACAAACATACACACAAACACAACAAACCACACAGGCCCAATCACTCTACGACCTCTCCGATACGGTCAACAAATCACATCAATCAGCAAATCCTCATTAGTGCAATCACAGCTCTGTCCTGTTTTTAGCAACACAAGCCTGACAGCAACAGGGATGAAATTTGATCAAAATGGTTAGTTCTAAATCAAACAAAACATTGAATTTATGTTGTAAGAAAACTATAAGAGAAATATGTCAATGTTAAGATGCACTGTGTCACTGCATGTGCTTCTGTACGTTTATTCATTAGGTCGATAAATATATATTGGAATATAGTAGTAATGTGCCCATGTTAGATTTTTTTCTATTTCTGTTTTTGAGGCCTGTGTGTTGACTGTTTTAAACATAAATAGTTTTACGCTGATAAGAAAAAGGGGAAATTTAAAAGGAAGTGGAATAAATGACACATGAAAGAAACATTCTCACTTCCTCATAACGTTTGTAATAATTTATAAACAATACTTTTTTACATTTAAATGCTTAATTCCACTGAACAGTACAGTATATTTAGTTCTACCTTTCTATAGTTTTGGTTGATTTTGGTCATTTACAACAAATACATTTAATTTCATAATAAACATATGGCTGAACAGAATGAAATGTGTAGTAGAAAACTTGTGACTGTTTTGTGAAAAGTCAAGTCTAAACTGTCCGATGCTCTTTAAAGAGAAAATAAGCAATTCTTTACTGTTAACCATCACAGTTTGATTACTCTTACATGTGACTGTGGGTTTGGAACAGAGTCATTCAGGTGTTGGTTAATGTGTTAATCTGGGCAGCAAACCCTCAATTGTAAAAAGTATAATTTTTTTCTAAACATGAAGGCATAATGAGGTGTTTGACCTCATATATGAGCTGACTGCTGTCTCATTAGGTTCAATATAAAAATGAACTCTAAACTAAAAACCAAGACCATACATATTACCTAGAGCCTTCAGACAGAAATGGTTTATGGTTTATAGTGGTTTTATGATTTGGTTGCAGCTAACATATGAGAGTGAGTATATTCACTTACATCCTGTTACTGTATCAGTGTTTTTCTTATCTCATATAGCCCTGTGCCTGTTTACATCCTGCCAACTTCTGCACTTTATACACTCTATAAAGATGATGCTCAAAATGTAATATTTAATTACAATAGATTGAATCTTGGATGTGCGCTTTCAAACAGTGTAAATGATCACAACTTCAGGCACTTCTTCGTGACCTTTCTTCATGACCCTGGTGTGAGAGAGCATCTCAGTCTCAAAGTAACTGAACAGTTTCAGATTCAAATTGACTTGGCATTTTTCATTTTGAACATTGGCTATAGTTTATGAGCTCAGCAATAATACACATGAACGAGATATGGTTTTGAATGATCTGAGAATCACATTTGCTTTGTTTAACAATACGGGATAGTCAATATAAATGGTTCATAATTGCTTCATAAAGAGATAAAATCGAGTTTGATGTACTATAACTTAGGCTAGGTTATAACAAAATAGTTTTTTTCCCGCATGGTTGGACATTTCCAAACACCACCCGTCCACATTACGCACATGTTTGGATATTGTCAGTCAGCATCTCTGCTCCAAGGCACGTTTCATAATCCGCTTTCCCACTCGCCCCATAATGCGCCCATCGCTCCAGTCCGCACAAAGCTCCTTCCACCCGTGACCACCGAGGCACGCGCGTGGACGGCATAAATAGCCACGCGTGGAGCTCGGCCCGTGACTGGTGTCGTCTTTCAAAAAGGTGTCAACTCAGCTTTCAATTCAATAAGACAAGAGAGCCCGAAACCCATTACCATCTACTCTCAACGCCACCGTGCGTAAACGCGTTGCGATTAATGTTACAGGGGCAGTTTTGCAGTCGGGGAAAACCTGAATGCATCTTTCCACGCAGCGTTAAACCGTATAAACACCACCAAAGCCAAGCATGTGCGCTACACATGTCCAAACCCAGGCGCGTCGCAGTGATCGTGCGTAAAAATGCGTGAAAACCACCAACTCGCGTTTGTTTTCATTTTCTGTGCTTATGTGCAGCGTCTGAGGAATATAGCGCACAGATGAGAGGATCTGTGCAATAGTAGCAGGTCATTTATCTAAATTAGTGCATCGTAATTGGCCATTTCCCCTCGAGATGATGGACCTAGATATGGAGAAAGATAGATGGACACAGAAAATGGCTTTGAAAACAAACAAGGGAATTCCAGCCATAACAGTGAAATATTAGGTTCTGTAAAACACGCACGGTTAGACGCATTCATGTGAGCTGGGAATGTTGAGATTGTTTTTTTTTTTTTTAAGTTGACGCTGGTGTTTCGGTGTGCAATGGTTCCAAATCGCGTAAAACCAAACGATACAGGGCATTAAACAACTACGCTGGTGTTTCGGTGTGCAATGGTTCCAAAGCGCGTAAAACCAAACGATTCAGGGCATTAAACAACTTCTAAACAAATCGTCTGAGTATTCCTCGTAAAAAGAAGCAGGACGTGGATCAAACTGACCTGTGATAGAAGCGTCTATAGAGTCAAACTTCAGGTCCACTTAGGGTTCCTCGCACCGTTATCGTTATGGCTCTTCTCTGAGATGCTCGCTTGCCACTAAACACAGGAATGCGGTCGGCCCCGTTTAGAAGCAAAACTACGGTGCTTTCTCTCCCCTCACTCCCTCCCTCCTCTATCTCTCTCGCTCTCTCTCTCAGCGGGGTGAGGAGGTGGATACGCACGGCCGCTCTGGTCCGTTCTGCTCAAGCCAATGCACTTGTTTATTCTCAAAGAACATTTACCAGAACTGGACACAGTTATCAGTTGTACTAAAGAAAGATGAGTAACATTATCTCAAGATAGTGATACTCAAAATGTGGAAGTGGTCCAAGAATTTAGATTTGAGTAATCCAACTTTCAAGCCTCAAAATTGGAAGTGTCAGAAGATCTGCTAAACTATGTTCACGTGAATGTATTTAAGCCTCTAGGAAAAGTGAAAAAGAGGGAGGCCACCCTCACTCAGCTCATAGTGTCAACTATATTTCTACATGCATGAAATATATTACTTGCTTTAAATTAGGTAAATACAGAATATTTTGGTCTGATTTGATACAAGACTGTCTCTGTATGTCGTTTATGAAAAGGTCAGGGACTCCTTTAACTTTGCTCGCAAGCTGATTTTCTCAGGGTTTCTCAGAATTCTACTAATATCGATCTCTTTCAGATAAAGGTACTCTAGCTTAAAGTTTAAAGTTAACATAGCATAGAGTAACATAACATGATTGCACACATGTGGTATTTTAATCTTATATTTCATACCACCAACGATACAAAACAATACAAAAAGAAATGTAATACTTTAGCTTCTTGTGGCGTGAGATGAAGTAGGACCCAAATGCAGGAATGCAAAAATAATGATTTGATAAAATAAAGTCCAATGTGGAAACAAATCTCAAAAACAATGACCCAGCAACAAGGGGAGAGAAGCACAGGGTACATACTGTATAGACACACACAGACGCAGGTGAAACACATCAGGGCGGGGCAGACAATCATCAGGGGAACAGGACAGGAAACAAAACTGAAATGAAACCCACAGAACCAATGTCAAAATAGTTTACACCATGTAAACATACTCACAATTACTTTTTCAGTCCCTCCCTGTCAAATAGTAATGTGTTACATTCGTGAAATATTGTGTCTGAATGGGTTCACTGAAAATGTACTATAGTCACTTTATCTGCTGTTTATTCTGTTCTTATCCTTTTGCGATAATAGCCATAACGGTCCATAATACTCTAGAACCCTTTCTGCAAATAGAAGAGTGCCTATTTTTACATATCTATCTTGTTTGAGTGCCGCTTTCATGTGTTGTGCACGTCAACACTGACATTTCCCCTACAGTGGGTAGGTTCTCTTATTTCTCATTTTCTATTAGTCTCTCCACATTCCCGTTTCAGTTTACTGCTGTCATTCTATTACAAGGCACTAATAGTACTCATCTCAAAGAAAATGTTGATGATTGTGTTAAATAATCTGTAACACATTCAAATCAATGCAGAATGTATTGGTGTAAAACATTTAGTAATTTATATTTGGCACATTATTTAAAGATTTTAAATTCTCAATTATCCACCAGCTTCAGTCTTCACATTATGATTCCTTTGAGCTGACAGGAGGAATCCATGTTGGCTTAAGTGTTAAAAGGTCAGCTGCAGCTTCTGCCCCTATAACCTCAGGGAAAGCCCATAACAAATGCCTTTGTTTTAAGTGACACCATAGACTCTACGGCTGCTGTATCCAACATATATCATGTTTTACTATGACCACAATTTAATGTTATTTTACCTGTGTCTGATTCAATGAGCAAAGTGTTGTTGAGCAAAGCACTGCACCTCTGCAGTCAAGCAGAAATCATAAAACCAGACTAACGGGAACTCACTGTTACAGTACATACGAGTTGATTTCAATCTACACAAATTCCAATGTTTCTGTAACATCTATTGTACCTCTTAATACCACACAATACATGCAATGACACGAACAATATTTATTGTACTGATTCTGCAAGAAGTCTGTTTCAGCTGTGAAAAGTAAATGTTTAGTTCTCTTTCCACTATATTGCCAAACAACAAGAGTTCTGGCAACTTTAGACAAACAACAATGTAATGTGCTCCAGACACTTTCTTTAATCAATGACACATAAAACTTCTTGTAAGAAAACTCTTACAATAAAGAAAGAATCTTGTAAGAAAGAGACCTGCTTTTAGTCGTATTTGACTCCTCTCTCTTTCACTGTCTGAATAATAAGCTGATCTAATGATCTGAGAGAGGCCAAAATACATGCATGTGAAAACTAGTGACAGAACCAAACTGTTGTGAAATGTTTTAAGAGCAAGAAACAAGTTGGATTGATGGATTATTTTTAATGTAAATCTGATGTATTAAAAGAATAGAACAGAGATTCACTGCATATTGAAAGTCTATCCAGTTCAAGGTAAAAGTGACCCTCAACAAAAGTATATTATAATAAGAAAAAAATCTTGATGTAAAATAACAAACCTACAATAGTTCATATGGACATCATTATTAGAACTTCAGACACTATGAAGGTCTAACAATGTTGACCTCTTGTGGCTTGAGTAAGTATTTATATTCTTCACAACATTAGAAAAATGTGGCAATGTTTCCAATGAATGTAGCACAATGTATTTATTATAGCTCAAAGTCATTATTATAGATCTAATCATACATATAAGTGACATCACACAAAACGGATGTACAAACCCTGAGAATAGCACACATTTCATAATCACCAACGTCATTTCTATTTACACATGTTCTGGCCTCACATTTCTCTTTCATGAGGCAGTGGTGCATTTGCACAGTTGTGGGGTGGCTAAACATACAGCTCCATTCCAAGGTAAAGCCAATCCAAATAAAGACATTTATAAACAAGGAAATAAGTCAGTTCCCTTCAAGAGGCTTAAAACAACTGGAAATCCATGTTGATGTTTCAGGTTCAGAAATGTGTGGCTGGTAGATCCGTCACATCCTAAAAAAATAGTTAAATGTGTTAGAAATTGGGATTTGAAGCATGGGAACAGAATATGGTGTCACATTTAACACTTTTCATGATGCCTAAAGTTACATTGCATTACATATTTTTCATCTGCTTGTTATGGCTCCTGGTCTGAGCCATTGGCAACATACTGTGTGTCCCCTTCTGTCTGTGTGTGTCTGTCTTCTGTCTGTGTGTGTCTGTCTTCTGTCTGTGTGTGTCTGTCCCGGACACTGCTATTCGTGGGGAGCCCTCCTGTCTGGTCCAAGCTACACCACCAGCTCATGGGCCATGGCCAATAAAACAGCGTTGCAATGCCCGGATGTGGCGGCCTGTTTTCAGTACCAGTCTTCCTTCTTAAGAGACACACATGGGTTTGTGTGCAGACCAATAATTTGAAAATCTTTGAGAACTTTTGACTTTTGGGCCTGGTGTTATTCAGATCTAGTTAGAAAGACTTTTGTTCCTGCAGAACTCATTAAAATTACTATTTTACATTTACTTTTTCTGTCGTTTACCAATTGCATCTGGTTTTATGTTATATTCTTTCCCCCTTTACAAGCTAAATTTGGATTTGTAACATCGCTTCGGACCAGTGTCTTTTGACCCATGTTGAAATGGCTTGTTTATTATCCACGTGGAGCAACAAATATAGCATAAGTATTGGCCCTTGTGTGGCTTGACTTTTTATTACATTCTTGACCCACAAGTAAACAATGTGCTATTTTAGTTATGTCTAAATTACTGCTATATTTGGTCTCCATTGAACATGCATCTGCAAAGATATTTTCTCCGGAGACTCGTTACGCACCAGGTTGTTGCTCAGTGGAAATGAGACTATACTTCGCTACATCTTCTTGATTCAATAGAAGATGGGGTTGGGGGATTGAAAATTGAAGCGCCCAGGTACACCAAATTAGATGAAACAACATTTGAAAGCATAAACTGACCTTGTCCTGTAGGTGGCGCTCTGAGGCACAGTGACACTGACAGTGCAGGACAGCGTCGTGAATTGACGAAAAGACGCAGCACTTAGTCACTTTCTCGTTGAAGAATCCTCCAGTCTCCAGGTTATGTAGCACTCCACCTGAAATCATCATGGAATGCATTTATTACTTGAGCATTCCTTTGAAGTTGCCAAGCATCATTCTCCTCTTTGGTCTTACTTCTTTGGTCTTACTTTCTAGCATCCTTATACTTGTGTGTTCACTTTCCTTCACAAATGTCCAAGTCATTACAATCTGGGTGCCTCTGATTTAATGTCCAACAATAACATTTGCTGTGGTTCATGAGTAAAACCAGACCCACTCAAGTCCAGATGTAAAAAATACAGATTTTGAAACTCAGAAATCCATCAAAAAACATTTGACAACATTCTAAAGTGAGCAACGGCAATTTTCTATTTGATCTGTTACGTGGTTGCAGGCATCACCTGTTTGTTTGAGCATGTGGAACATTTCAATGAGTTTCATCTCTTTGGAGTCAGGGATTTAGCGAGCCTTTCACCAGAAAGCTTGGTTACAGAAACTAGTCATTATTGAATACAATAGACTACATTATTGCTCCTCTAGGGGGTGTCAAAGTTATATTTGTCTACATTTATTTGTGCTTATCACTGGCACAAAGAATATGCTAATGGTGGTTTTTGTGTCTGGTTATGTTTAGGAGAACGATGGACCCCCCACCATATTCACTTATCCATGGTAAAACACAAAATACTGCATATTTGATAAAACAACTCACCCTGGCAGCCGGTCAGAACCACCTCAATGCCAATGTCTCCGTAATCCTTTTTGATCTGAAACACACACAAACAGATGGCATGGGAGATTTAAAATACCAACTTTCTATATCATATGGAACAGTCTGGAAATAAAACAAAGTGAGTGTGGTACATTTTTGAGGGTCTTGACTCCGACTGTGTCCAGGAAGTTGACAGGACTGAGATCCAGGACGATGGCTCTTGGTAAAGACGGGTCCCTGTCTGGTTCCACTTCAATCACTGCTACATCCTTCATCTCTGTGAGCTCAGGATCCACCTGCTGGGGAGAGGAAATAACAACATGTGTCAGACCCGACAAAAGAGCTCAGAAGTCCCTAACCCAAACCCTACACATAAACAAAGGAGGGTTATCAAAAGTGGATTAAAAAGGATTCTGATTACTAGGGATGGGAACCTCAGGGTACCTCACGATATGATACGATGTGCGAGACAAAGCTCACGATAACGATTATCTCACTATGTGACGATGCAGTGGTTATCGATTTATTGGTCAAAAATATACTTACAATAATATTTTTCTTACATTTATGGCATAAATTAAGTGAAAAAAATACACTTTATTTCAAGATAAATGGATAAAGTGTCATGTGTATCATTAAAGTGAACAAGCAAAAATGCCTTTTAACTTGCACATTATAGTAAAAAACTTACTTAATCTGTTTTACATCCAATAAAATCAATATGAACATTCTACAGAAATTGTAGAATGTGTAATGTAGCCATATATTAAGTATCAATAATTTATTTGTATTTTTATTGATACTCGATTGTGTGAGAAAGTATCACGATACATCACCATATCGATATATTGTCACACTCCGACTGATTACTGACCTGTAGATCCCCATTCTCCTTTGCCTGTTTCTTGGCCTCTTTCTTTGCCTTCTTCATCTGCTTTTCTTCAACCCTCTTTCGTTTTGCTTCCAGTTTCTGTTTGACCGCCAAGATCTTAGTGATGTCAATTCCAGTCTAAAAAAAAAAAAGCATAATAATAATTGTGTTATAATTATTACAGATGATCAAATTTGTTGTATTATAATGTGTTGCAATCTAACACTAACTTATCATTGTCTATACATGTAGTCTATGGTCATGGGCTTTGGGTAATGACCAACAGAACGAGATTGTGCATAAAGTGGATAGAATATCTCTTCTTGGACTGTGCCCCCGCAAAGTGGATAGAGCGGAGGAAAATGGATGGATGGAAATTAGTCAATGCCAATTTATTTATATAGTGCTACAAAAGCTGTCCAAAGTGTTTCACGTGCACAAAAATATAAAAGACAACAAATTCAGTACATTTTGCAACATTGGAAACCCAGTTGGAATTAAAAGTCAAATCATACAAATCGCAGTATGTAGGGTATTTCGTAATCTACAATGAAGCCAGTCTCGTCTTTTGAATGATCATCAAATAAATACATTAATTCAGAAACTTCTCATTGTCTCTATACCAAGAGAAATCCCATTGACAGCTCAAAAGACTTCACTAATGAGGTTTTGTATTGATTCATGAATTGTCCTGTGTTTGTCAGTGCAAATCCAGTCATCAGACACAATCAACATTATCACTGAGACTGTCCTCTATGTTTTGGGAGAAACATCTTCTAAACCATACATATAATTATCTTTCATCTGTCATGGCTTCGAATGGTTGGAATTCACCTTTTTTAGACTTTTTCTTCCCTAAAAATAAGATGTGAGAGGGAATGTGGCGTGGAGCTTGACAGATGAACAGTACTGTATGTGTCGGATGTGAATGAGGATTATAATTACAGACGAACTGGCAGGAAGTTGGAGAACAATTGATTTGAATAGATTTGAGTGAGTAGAAAAAGTTTACTCCTCGATCATTTTCTGAATAATACATATTTAATTCAGGCTTGGCTTTATCACTACAAATATGTTGACAACAACTGCTGCTTTAATTCAAGACTAGAAAGGCTCCAGTGGCCCAATTGGTCAGTGTGTGGTACTGATAAGACAGTGACCTGCAGAGTAACGTTGAGGTTGTGAGTTCAAGCCTCACCTGCAACATGACCAGTTTTAATGTAGGAATTCTCTCTGCAGAGAAGCTTGTAGGAGAGAAATAGTAAATACAAATGAGGCCCACAGTGGGTAACCGCCTCACTCCCATCACCCACACTACTTGCCGGACCTTGGGGGACAAAGCCATTGCCGCCCCAACCCTCTGGAACTTACTCCCACTGCTCATAGAAACTCCGACTCACAACCAATCTTTACATCAGTACTCAAAACCCATCTGTTCAAACAAGCTTTTCTGTAAACCCCGTTTTTTATTTTATTCTTCATGTGAAGTGTCCTTGAGTGTCCAAAAAAGCGCTTTACAATTTTTATGCATTAGTATTATTATTATGCCCTCAGCCTACAATATATGATTCAGCCATCAGACTTTGTTTAGAGTCAGACCCAGTTTCAGGAACTTCTTCCTCTATGAAGGTAGTAAATAATTACAAAGTAAATACAATTGAGACGCACTGTGCACCAGTGGGTCATAGGCACGGAGAGACAGTCTATGTTTTTCAGGTTTAACTACTGTGTCTGATGCCTGCCCCCCTTACTTTACATTTGGCCAAAAAGAAAAGAAATACGCAGAATGGGAGACTGAAATAGCTCAGCCTTTGTCCAACCCAAAATGTCTTGGCCTTTTCATTCACACTTATTTCATTTTGAGACAGGCTCCAGTGGCGCAATCGGTCAGCGGGTGGTAGTTATAAGACAGTGACCTGCAGAGTGATGCCGAGGTTGTGAGTTCGAGCCTCACCTGGAGCATGAGAAGTTTTAATATGAATCTGTAGTTTACACTCAGAAACACGTCTCGGTGAAGTCAGTCAATCTACAGACATGGCTTCATCCTACAATATATGATTCATGATCTACTTCTTGTAGAAAGGCATCAGGGAGAGGAATAGTCAATACAAGTGAGCCCCACAGAAGAACAGTCTTGCTCAGGTTTAACTATCTGATGCTTGCCGCATTTATTTGCATTTGGTTAAAAAAAAGAATGGGCTATATGCACGGGGAGGCGTGACGTCATTTCCTGTTAACAAAGATCAGCCCGTTCACTTCCTGCCTATGCTATCCTATGGCTTTTAGGTGGGTTTTAGTGACGTTTTTTAGTAATTAGATTGATACATTCAGCTGTGAGACTGACCCAAAAGTGTCGCTGTGCTTTCTCTCTGAGGAACAGCTTTGACTGTGGCCACTCAGAGAGATTTGTAAACTTTATAAAAACACAATGACAGCACAATCAAAGAGCACTGCTGTGTCCCAAAAATGCCCAGTATCCTCACAGTTTAATTCCCGTTTGAGCATTATTTGGGAAACTCGTGTGAACCACTGCTGAACTCCAGTGAAACTCAAGCTGTTTCCTGCGAACAGGAAGTGAAGTGGGGTTGTAGCTAAAACGCGGAAGTGGTGCGTGCATAGAGCCCATTGCACAGTATGGGCAGCTGAAATAGCTCCGCCTTTATCTCCAAAATGTCTTGTTTGAATGAAATTTCCTCAAGTTCATATTCTCAGGAGGAAGGGTATCTTCTAAACGCTGAATTCAGTACATATCTTTCACACAAAGAAGCTCCAGTGGCGCAATCGGTCAGCGCGCGGTACTTATAAGACAGTGACCTGCAGAGTGATGCTGAGGTTGTGAGTTCGAGCCTCACCTGGAGCATGAGGATTTTTAATGTATATGAGTTTGTTTAGAGTCAGAAACACACACAGGTGAAGTCATTCAAACTACAGTGACATGTCCTCAGCCTACAATATATGATTCGGTAATCAGACTGAGTTTATAGTTGGATCCAGTTTCAGGAACTCTTTCCTCTGGAAAGATAGTACATAAATACAAAGTAAATGCAATTGAGAAGCACTGTGCACCAGTGGGTCATGACCACAGAGAGACAGTCTATGTTTTTCAGGTTTAACTATCTGTTGCCTGCCCCCTTACTTTGCATTTGGTCAAAAAAAAAAAAACACAGAATGGCCGACTGAAATAGCTCAGTCTTTATCGCCAAAAGGTCGGCAAAAGTCTTGAATGTTTTTTTTATACTTCTTTCTTATTTGTAAAGGTTCCAGTGGCGCAATCGGTCAGCGCGTGGTACTTATAAGACAGTGACCTACAGAGTGATGCTCAGGTTGTGAGTTCGAGTCTCACCTGGAGCAAGTATTGTTGTATAGAATGTCACTTTATATTCTGCAGCGCATATGTGTAGTCATTAATACATAGTCGTCTTCCACCATATCAAATTTTGGTTCATATGGGCTTTTCATTTCATGACATTTTTTTTCCCTTTTGTAGAGGCTCCATTGGTGCAATCGTTCGGGTAACTTGTGACATGATGCTGAGGTTCAGAGTTTGAGCCTCAACTGGAGCAGACTTTCAAAAGAACCAGAGAAAGGGAAAATTAGAAAGAAACCGCTTTTGGTTGTTGGTTTTATTAGAGTTGGTGCATAGGCTATATTATTGTTGGTTCAAAGGGTTATCAGAGTTGGTTCATTGATTTTACTTGAGGGGGTTTGTTGATCTTATTATAATTGTTCGTACCTTACGGCCCAGAGCGTCCTGATACATCTCTGCGTTGGCAAAATACAAAGTGGCGGAGGAACGGAAAACCACCACGTCTGGCACCTGCGTCACCTGAGCCCAATTACAGAAGATACACATGAATATACAGTATACCCAATTGTGGGGAAACCTAGAGGATGACAATGTATAGTATCATTTGAATCAAACAATATTAAAATATGCTCTATACTATAATTTATGTGTCATGGTGCTGTGAAGTCCCATCTAGCCACAGCAAAATCACTATTTATTGTTCCCATATCAGTTTTGAAAAATCCTGACACAAACAAGGCAATTCACAGCTCCAGTAAAGCTGTTGTAATAAAACTGTCAAATGTGTGTAAAACTTGGGATACAACCAATCAAATGGACGTATCTTTGACCATCTTTTAGAAACGAGAGGCCCACCCTCACTCAGCTCAAAATATCAAACAGTGACTCGGTTCCTACTTAGAGCATGGATCTTTCTAAATATGCAAATGATAAGAACATTTTGACTCTCGTATTTATTTACTTGGGTACAATATGGACAGGTTTAGTGCCATTACAGACACTGCAAAGTCAAATACGAGTAAGTCACTTGTGTACGATTACCTCTTCATAGCTGTCCACAGGTCTGTAGACGTCTGTGTCCGGGATCTGTCCCAGCAGAGAGTACGTTGGTCTGAAAGAACAATACAAATTAGTAAAGGAATGACCAAAATGAGTAATAAACTAGAGTTCTCACAGCTGAGTCCTGAAGATGACTGTGAGAAGAGCGAAGGCGATGGAAGCAGCTAATCCCAGATCTGGGTTCAATAAGACCGTAAGCACAAACGTGACCACCCAGATGACCTGCACACAAATGAAACCATTCTAATTACTTTTTATCGTCAACTTCATGCTTTGACCTATTGAGAAAATTGGTTTGATAACGTTGATGTAAATTATGACATGTCTTCAGCAGTGCTTTCCAAAGTGGTGTCCACACAACCAGCAAACAGTTTTTCAATCAAATATATATGGGATTAATGCATTTGCACACTTACTGCTTTTTACTTAACTCAAATTGTGTATATCTATATATTTTGGTTTAAATTTACAAGGAAAACCATCACACATTCTTCTGTTTAAAGTTTGATTTAATATTAAGGTTATATTTCTAGCCTGGTCTAAGTCTATAGTTTTCACTTTTAACATTCATTTCTGAATTCAAGATATATTTCAAGTGGTGGTTGCCAAGATCTTTATAATATTGCTATTTGATTTACACTCTCCAGTGATTAAATTGGTCAGCGTGCGGTACTTAAAAGACAGTAACGCAAAAGAAAAGAATTGTACAGTATGGGCGACTGAAATAGCTCCGCCTTGATCATCACAATGTCTTGGATGTTTTCATTACAATATCCTCAATTTCATTTTCTTGGGATGGAGGTTAGCTTCTAAACCCTAAATTCGATACATAATTTGACCAAAAAGAAAAGAAATACGCAGAATGGGAGACTGAAATAGCTCAGCCTTTGTCCAACCCAAAATGTCTTGGACCTTTCATTCACACTTATTTCATTTTGTGAAAGGCTCCAGTGGCGCAATCGGTCAGCGCGCGGTACTTATAAGACAGTGACCCGCAGAGTGATGCCGAGGTTGTGAGTTCGAGCCTCACCTGGAGCATGAGGAGTTTTAATATGAATCTGTAGTTTACACTCAGAAACACGTCTTTGTGAATTCATGAAACCTACACTGGCATCATCCTACAATATACAATTCAGGATCTACTTCCTGAAAGGCATCAAGAAGAGGAATAGTCAATACAAATGAGCCCCAAAGAGGGACAGTCTTGCTCAAGTTTAATTATCTGATGCTTGTTGCCTTACTTTGCATTTGGTCAAAAAGAAAAAGAATTGCACAGTATGGGCGGGTGAAATAGCCTTTATCTCCAAAATGTCTTGTTTTATTGACATTTAATCAATTTCATATTCTCAGGATAAAGGGTATCTTCTAAAAGCTGAATTCAGTACATTTTAACAACAGGAAGCTCCAGTGGCGCAATCGGTCAGCGCGCGGTACTTATAAGACAGTGTCCTGCAGAGTGATGCCGAGGTTGTGAGTTCAAGCCTCACCTGGAGCATTTGCATTTGGTCAAAAATAAAAGAAATACACAGAATGGGCGACTGAAATAGCTCAGTCTTTATCACCAAAAGGTCGGCAAAAGTCTTGGATGTTTTTTTAGACTTCTTTCTTTTCACTAAAGGCTGCAGGGGCACAATCGGTCAGTGCGTGGTACTTATAAGACAGTGACCTGCAGAGGGATGCTGAGGTTGGATATTCGAGTTTCACCTGGAGCATGAGAAGTTTTAATGTATGAATCTGTTGTTTACCAGTCAGAAACACATACAGGTGAAGTCATTCAAACTAAAATGAATCTTCATCTCCAAATTATCTTGGAATGTTTTTGATGCTTTTTGTTAATTCTCAGATTCAGATTCAGATTCATTTATTTGCCATTTGCAGTAAAACCACATTGGAAAAACTGTGCAAGACTACCCCGGTGTGCACCAGACAGAGAAGACGACACACACCAGAGCTCTTGCCACGGCGCCATCTTTACGGCGCCATGCGACAAACAGTAGAATAAACAGCAGAGAGCAATAACATACAGTTTCACAGACAGTTGGATAGACACATTGTGCTTTGTATAAAGCACGGATTTTTTCTCGGGATGAGCACCTCCGACAGCCGGCCAATGTGGCTGTCAGAGGGGGGCGGGGTCAGGGAGGGGGGTGAGTCGGAAACACAGTGAGGAGTGGAGGGGAGGGAGGGAGCAAGATGGATAGGTAGAGGGAGGCGGGGGTAGGGGATCCAAGCTGGAGACTGAATAGTGTGAGTTGTTGTAGATGGGACTTTTGTTATTATGGCCTTGGCCGAGGAATGTGAGATAAGAGTGGAGAGAAGGCACAGGAGGAGAAAACACATCGCCTCAGGGGGACAATATTAATGCAATGTAGCAGTTAAAAGCAGGCAGATATTCTTTTAAATCCAATTAAACCGAATTGCGGCGCCCTCAGACCCCGTACACAGGGGCAAATCCAAGCCGGGTCAGAGAGTTCAAGCCTGGCAAACGATGTCATTCAATCTCAACTCCAGAGTTTTATTCCCTTCGAGTGAACGAGCTGCGAGATCTTTTATCAACTCATTCTCTTGGCTTCTCTTGGCTTCTTTGCTCTGACAATTGTTTCTAAACCCTAAATTCAAGGCTCACATAAGACATAACAAGGCTCTAGTGGCGCAATCGGTCAGCGCGCGGTACTTATAAGACAGTGACCTGCAGAGTTATGCCGAGGTTGTGAGTTCGAGCCTCACCTGGAGCATTTGACATGTTTTAATGTATGAATCGGTAGTTTACACTCAGAAATACGTCTCTGTGAAGTCATTCAATCTACACTGACAGGATCTACTTCCTGTAGAAAGACATCAAGGAGAGGAATAGTCAATACAAATGAGCCCCACAGAAGAACAGTCTTGCTCAGGTTTAACTATCTGATGCCTGCCGCCTTAGTTTGCATGTGGTCAAAAAAAAAAGAATTGCACAGTATGGGCGGCTGAAATAGCCTTTATCTCCAAAATGTCTTGTTTTATTGACATTTAATCAATTTCATATTCTCAGGATGAAGGGTATCTTCTAAACGCTGAATTCAGTACATATCTTTGACAAAGGGAAGCTCCAGTGGCGCAATCGGTCAGCGCGCGGTACTTATAAGACAGTGTCCTGCAGAGTGATGCCGAGGTTGTGAGTTCGAGACTCACCTGGAGCATGAGGAGTTTTAATGTATGAATCTATTGCTTACAGTCAGAAACACACACAGGTGAAGTCATTCTAACTACAGTGACATGCCCTCAGCCTACAATATATGATTCAGAAATCAGACTGAGTTTATAGTTGGATCCAGTTTCAGGAACTCTTTCCTCTGGAAAGGTAGTACCTAAATACAAAGTAAATACAATTGAGATGCACTGTGCACCACTGGGTCATGACCACAGAGAGACAGTCTATGTTTTTCAGGTTTAACTATCTGATGCCTGCCCCCTTACTTTGCATTTGGTCAAAAATAAAAGAAATACACAGAATGGGCGACTGAAATAGCTCAGTCTTTATCGCCAAAAGGTCGGCAAAAGTCTTGGATGTTTTTTTAGACTTCTTTCTTTTCACTAAAGGCTGCAGGGGCACAATCGGTCAGCGCGTGGTACTTATAAGACAGTGACCTGCAGAGGGATGCTGAGGTTGGATATTCGAGTTTCACCTGGAGCATGAGAAGTTTTAATGTATGAATCTGTTGTTTACAGTCAGAAACACATACAGGTGAAGTCATTCAAACTAAAATGAATCTTCATCTCCAAAATATCTTGGAATGTTTTTGATGCCTTTTGTTAATTCTCTTGGCTTCTCTTGGCTTCTTTGCTCTGACAATTGTTTCTAAACCCTAAATTCAAGGCTCATATAAGACATAACAAGGCTCTAGTGGCGCAATCGGTCAGCGTGCGGTACTTATAAGACAGTGACCTGCAGAGTGATGCTGAGGTTGTGAGTTCGAGCCTCACCTGGAGCATTTGACATGTTTTAATGTATGAATCTGTAGTTTACACTCAGAAATACGTCTCTGTGAAGTCATTCAATCTACACTGACAGGATCTACTTCCTGTAGAAAGACATCAAGGAGAGGAATAGTCAATACAAATGAGCCCCACAGAAGAACAGTCTTGCTCAGGTTTAATTATCTGATGCCTGCCGCCTTAGTTTGCATGTGGTCAAAAAAAAAAGAATTGCACAGTATGGGCGGCTGAAATAGCCTTTATCTCCAAAATGTCTTGTTTTAATGACATTTCAATTTCATATTCTCAGGATGAAGGGTATCTTCTAAACCCTGAATCGAGTAAATATATTTTATAATCAAAAGCTCCAGTGGCGCAATCGGTCAGCGCGCGGTACTTATAAGACAGTGTCCTGCAGAGTGATGCCGAGGTTGTGAGTTCAAGCCTCACCTGGAGCATTTGCATTTGGTCAAAAATAAAAGAAATACACAGAATGGGCGACTGAAATAGCTCAGTCTTTATCACCAAAAGGTCGGCAAAAGTCTTGGATGTTTTTTTAGACTTCTTTCTTTTCACTAAAGGCTGCAGGGGCACAATCGGTCAGTGCGTGGTACTTATAAGACAGTGACCTGCAGAGGGATGCTGAGGTTGGATATTCGAGTTTCACCTGGAGCATGAGAAGTTTTAATGTATGAATCTGTTGTTTACAGTCAGAAACACATACAGGTGAAGTCATTCAAACTAAAATGAATCTTCATCTCCAAATTATCTTGGAATGTTTTTGATGCTTTTTGTTAATTCTCAGATTCAGATTCAGATTCATTTATTTGCCATTTGCAGTAAAACCACATTGGAAAAACTGTGCAAGACTACCCCGGTGTGCACCAGACAGAGAAGACGACACACACCAGAGCTCTTGCCACGGCGCCATCTTTACGGCGCCATGCGACAAACAGTAGAATAAACAGCAGAGAGCAATAACATACAGTTTCACAGACAGTTGGATAGACACATTGTGCTTTGTATAAAGCACGGATTTTTTCTCGGGATGAGCACCTCCGACAGCCGGCCAATGTGGCTGTCAGAGGGGGGCGGGGTCAGGGAGGGGGGTGAGTCGGAAACACAGTGAGGAGTGGAGGGGAGGGAGGGAGCAAGATGGATAGGTAGAGGGAGGCGGGGGTAGGGGATCCAAGCTGGAGACTGAATAGTGTGAGTTGTTGTAGATGGGACTTTTGTTATTATGGCCTTGGCCGAGGAATGTGAGATAA